TCAAGACCATCCATACCAGGAATGCATTCTCATTGAAGGATTGACCTTCATTTCCACGGCGTATACCGTAGTATGAACGCAGTTGGCAACAAACATAGTCTATGGTGCGCGTTAGAAGGGAAACATGTAAATATTTGGGCATATACAACAGTAGGATTTCTAGGTTCAAGAACATGTATTGTGTTTTACCCTAAACCTGCCACGAACCAACCCTATGATATCCGTTGACACTCCAACCTTAAATATATGGCAATAGTGATACATACAAGTATAATCTAGTAGATACATTATAGCAGAACATCTAGCATACCACCGAAATGTGTAGTTACTATCAACCATACCAGTCATCAAATAAAACAAATATGATTTTTTTTTTAAACCAATAACACAACTAGCACAAGCAATCGGGGACATTACATAGAACCCTGTGTCAAAAGGGAAGTAACTCTTACACAATAATTTGTTCAATTATGTTTGCCTTAAATATTTGTTCTCCGATGGAATATCATTTTACAAAAAGCATAATTAAGTGATGCATATATACAATGTTCGGTACATTGTGTGTCACTCTGGGTCAGACAAGGAAAGAATATGTACAGAGCTATTTAGCCAAGCCGATAGACATGCAACATTAATATTTCATCATATTCCTTTTTTATGGAATACAGAGTTATCTCCCTTCCTAACAGGTATCTTTTTCCAGAAAAAAGGGTTTAACTTAATTACAAGAGAAAAAAATCGTTGGCCTGTATTCATGATTCTGTGCTCAAACCTAGTTTTCTCGTAAATGGCTTGAAATTATTTCACACAGTCAAAAAGTCAAGTTTAAACAATGAATTCGGACAAAGTCTCTCCAAAATGTGTGACAAAAATGTTATCAATAGTTTCATTGATACAGGCCCTGATCTTCAGCATTAGGAATAGTCTTCAAATAACTACAAGATCTTTTTAGAAACGGATCACTGGAGCTGGATTCTCAAAACTGCAAGTGATATACATTTTATAGGTAGACACCTGTTCAAAAGGGAAGCAACTCGACTGTTAAAAGGGTTTGTTTTTCCTTTGGAAATTGGGAATAACTCATAATTACTTTTGATTGACATTTAAAAGCCGGTTACTTCTGTTAGTACAGTTTTAATACAACAAAAGAAACTAGTACACATGCTTGTTCATTAGGCCAACTCATAATTTCGATCTTATTTTTCATGCATTAATTGCGTTGAACCAAACATACAAATGGATACATTTTTTGTAAATTTAGGAACTAATCAATATTAATATATATGGACACACACTTAAACCAATCGGTTACCTTTTCAATAATCTGTCATTGATGCTTAACAAAACACCAGTTACTTCAGTGATAAAGAAATTGAAAATGTTGAAGCTTACAAAGTTTTTGTGTGAAATTGTATTTCCCTCAATGTTGAAATTGCTACTCCTCAGAGGGTTTTTTTCAATTCTACCAGATTTCTCACTCATCCTTGTTTGCTTTCTTGTGCATGTAGATTTCATATGTATTCTCTACAAATCAACCTAATACTCATCCCCTTTTACGAAAATATATTCTACAGATTTTTCAAATGTTGGAACTCTCCATTTAATGGAGGTAAATTGTGTTACTGTAAGCATATATCCTTAAATACAACAAAAAATGCATTCCAAATTTCCCTGCAACAATTCTCCTATTTCTTGGTTTTTCAGGACACAAACATTTTGAGTCCTTATCTCCAGCACGTGGAGAAGAAATACCGTAGTCACTATATCTCTTGGTATTATAGAACTCATCAAAAGTTTGGAAATGATGTAGAAGACTATACTATAGCTAACCCAAACCCTCCAACAAAATTCACCACTATTTTGAGTATTAAGCAAATAAAAATCTCATTCTGTATAATCTTATCTAAACCAATCCATGAAATCACAGATTCAGCTCTTGATAAACATCTTCTCTGCACCCCTGGAACATGTATTGACAAAATTGAAAGCTCATATGGTAAGCTATTTGATTGGTTTGAGGTGATAAACCTGATGCTTGTCCTTTGTAGATTACTGGGGAGCTCCGACAAACTTCAAAGCCTTTTGATTTTACCGTTATGCTGCCGTACGATTCCTTGATATTCATCTAGGAATTTAGACTGTAGTTTACTTGTATCATCCACCAGGTGGCGCCCAAAGAGCCGTTGATTTTGTCATGACATATGTATGCTCCAGGGGTGCAGATATACAAACTGTGCATATACTATATAGACCAAATATATGTGCATCGTCAGCGGGACACTTAGATTTTAAAGATGACCTCAACCTGGACTTCATTTGATGTGTTTTGAATGTTATTACAAACAATATGTACAGTTGTGTTTGGGTTATGAGGAAAGCAAACCAAAGCACTACAAAATCAACACAATATTACACTACGTATATTTCCTTGTATATATGATCGTTTCATATTTCCATTGTGTTCGGCCTCCTTAACCGAATCATGATGAATACTCCCGCCCCCAAATTGAAAATCGTCGACAATAAACTGAACACTAAGTACACTTATAGTTCCTCATGCACAAAGTATTACCAGTAGTGTGAATCTACAGACATGAGTTTAGGTCTTGTCAACAAAGTCTGATCCTGCACAGCCTCATTGCCATAGTTACAAAATGTACATTTCATACTTGCCAACTCTCCCTATTAAGGACGGAGACTCCCGACTTCGGACCCTAAAATTAAGCATTTTCAACCAGTGAATTTGCTAAACTATTCCTATGATGAAAGGTCTGATGATTTCATGTGAAAGAACAGCTCAAACAATACCATTAAAAAGTGTTATTTTTTCCCTAGGGTGTACAATTCTGAGCATGTGTAATATTAATCTCTCCCATGGAAATTTCAAAAAGTTGGCAAGTATGTTCAGACATTTGGGGGAAGGAGGAATTTATATTTATTTAACATATAATGTTAATTTTTTGGATCAATTCTAATTGTTAATTTACCATCAATTTTTTTCTGTTATATTAAACTCACAAATTCAAGTTACCTTGAGAAATACATTCACACATTTACCGACAGTATATATTTACATTAATTTTATAGAAACAAATGAGTATGTCTCGATATATACCTTTCTGCAAAGAACAAAACAGAAAGCATTTGTTATATACATGGTATATACATATATATATAATGATGATTTAACAAAAAAATAAAACTTTCAAAACTTAATCAACTCTCACATTACACAACCACATCGAATATAAACATTTAAAAAACTATGGGAATATTCAGTGAATCATAGTACACACATACGAATATACCAGTCTGTATGCAAACCCCATTACTGAGTATGCTGCATCCGTTCAATCATGTATGGTCAAAAAACGGGATTTTCAAAATTTTAAGTTCATGCAATTACAACCAAGAAAGGAGGAAAAACTTATTTTACCTCTTTTCAGTATAGAAACTTTCATTCTCAATGAACATTTGATATTGGTTTGAAAGTTGGAACGTCCAAGTATCCTAACAGGTTCGTTTGGTTGAACTTGAAAACGGCAAAATATAAAACGATTGCGTAGTTTTAACTGTAAAATATATTTTGTATGATCATGGTTACAACTCAACATCAATCTAGTTAAAATGATATCTTCGCATCGCTCCAATTTATTGATATGTCCTTTCCACGCGACATTCATCAGTCAATGGGTGCGATGTGAAGATCTCATTACAATAAGATTTAACAAAACATGCAACAATATATAGAAGTTATCACATTTTGATAGTCTAGGAAAGTTCTCGTTTTGTTAAATAGCTTCAGTGGGTTCAGACACAAGGAGATGAAATTTAAAGAACATGCGATTATAACGACTGTCTTTGACAGACTCAAATACTTTCTGAAATCACCAATTCCCACATAGTATTAAAGTCTGTTACTATATCTGCACAATATAATATAAATTATCACTGCAGAACATGCGTGTTAGTACAATTATTCTTTATAGGTAGGTGTTTATCTTTTAAGTGGTTATCTTGTGGTCTTCAAATCTATACACACATGATAATCAGTAAGTTACAAAGTGTGACAACCTGCTTACAACAGTTTTGATGTATCTACCTGCGAACAAGATGGTTTTTTTACCGCACCTCCTCTTTACCCTCAATTCAACATCCATTTACATACAGCAGCCCTGAACAATACATTTTTGAGATATATTACGAACAGGAGAAAATGCATGTAGAATTTTTAACTATTACAGTGTAATAGTTTATAAAGATAAATCATGTTTATGACTGTTTCACGAGTTAATATTCTGTTAATAAGCTGCAACATTTGTATATTTCTCTCGTCATTTAAAGCAAAATTCTTCTGCTGCTTAATTCATTTTTTTAAATAAATTGTAGATAATCATATTTGTCAGGTTGAATACGTTTACTAGGCCCTATATGCTTTAAGAACAAAAAGAGAGTTGTAAATAAACCACGGGCATATTCTTTATATAACAATGAGGACTGTTGTGCGTTTGTTGCTAATTTTCGAGTTAAGTGAGGGAAATAAAGATGATTTGAAGTATTAGTAGAAAGTGAGGTAGACAACAGATTATATCGGGTGAATATATATGTGTTTGCGGGAAAATTTTTAATTAAAACCCCGAATTCACCAAATCACAATGACCTCCATGGCCAACTGTCAATATTTGATCAGAATCAATACTTTGATACACTGTAATCATCAATGATTTCAAACAGCATTAACTTCTATAGAACTTAGGAAATTTTATGTTTTATATGAATATCAATTTGTAAGACAACTTCATGAGAAATTCAATAATCCTATCGAGGATTACAAAAATGTAATAAAACTTCCATCAGAATGTACTCTGGTATACTAAATCCACACATCAGAAAACCCCTTTCATTTGGACTTGTTTTTGTAATATTTAAGGGATTATGACTTATCCTGATAAATTAAATGAATCATGATTTGTCATGAATGATTATATTTTTTTATTTTATTTTTATCTTTATATAAATTTATATAAAACATTATTTAAGCTTTGAAACGTGAATATTCAGTGCTGAATATTCAATATGTCATTACCTGGTAAAAGCAAAGAATAAGTCATTTTTATAAAAGTAAAATGTAACACATTGTTACTAAACAAAACCACAGCATATCATGAATATATTTTCCTCTAAACTTATTTCCCCATGTTATACATGCTAATAAGTCTCTGTAATATACATTACCAAATACAATACAATACAAATACATCGTACATGTACAATCAATAGTCTATTGCCTATTAAGAATATCAATTTTTCAACCTATATAGCACATTATGACCTGTATGCACATGTAAAAAATAAATATTTTTAGCAACAGCTGGTGTAATTTCAAAATCAATACTAGCTTCAACACATGTAGTTTGGATTTCGAGTTTGAAAGAAACATTTATGACGCAAATACTATATGTAATGATAAACAACTGACATTATAACGACAAAACATGTGTATGAAAAACAGAAATTAGTTCCTCGATGGCCCGATTTTTTTATTTTATATATATATATACAAATCTTCTACGCTGTAGAAGCCAAGACTTTGTTATTCCTAAATTTCACTTGGGTATTTAAAATAATTTTTAACTAGAAGTGTAACAATACATTTGACAATAACAATAATTCACCTTCAAATGCAATGCATCAAATGCACACCCTTAAACTCAATAACAATCAAAATCAATAGTACATAAAAACATCAATGTTTTCAACTGTTTTACAAAAACATTCTTATGACTTTTATCTTTAGCCTACATCAACACCACTTTCCATTTCCATACCTTTTACAGTATTCCTTATAAAGACCTGTCATATCATTCTGATTTTATCCTACATATATCCAGACAAAATTGATCATACCTGGTACAACATACCGTAAAAACGGAACCTGTGGCGCGAAAAATTTATTTCCCATTTAATAAATTGGCATGAAAATTAACACCTTCAATCGTAATGACACACTGGCTATGTAACAGTATTACAGTCAAACCTGTTTAAGTGACCCCCTTAATAAATTTGAATGAAAATTAACACCTTCAATAGTAATGACACACTGGCTATGCAACAGTATTACAGTCAAACCTGTTCAAGTGACCCCCTCCTTAAGAGATCTCCTGTGTTTAGAGACCACCTTGATTTCACTGTGCATTGAACCTGTACAATGAGATCACTTGCATCACCATTTACTCATTCACCCCTGTAGACACATTTGAAATCTTCCAATTCAAAGGTTGGCATAGTTCATTATGAAATGTCAGGGGTGAATGAGTTAAGATTCCACTTCTGAGTGTGATCTCTTTACACAGGTTTGTCTATACATACTGCAGCTTCATTATGCTAACATGAACATTTTTTTTCACAATTAATATCTAAATTCTAAAATTGAAAACAGGAAAATTTCTGCACTCCCATATTTCCTTTTAACAGTATAAATATGTGTCCTACTTAAATATATGTACCGCTCACGTGTCATTTATAATAAACAAAAAATAATCTTTTAAAAAAACATTGTTCACAAGACAGGATACAGTGATTGTTCAAAAGGATACCTTGGTTAAAATGTTACTGATGATATCACAGTGAAGTTGATGACGTCGCTATCTCGGATTGTCCTGGGTCATGTGTTGAAAACCATGTGTCCGTTTGTCTGCACAGTTGAGTTGAGGCCCATACTGTAGGGCTTGTCAGAGGGGCCTTTAACACATTGCTGATATTTTAAATAAATCAGACAAGGCCACTGAAAAGCCATGCTCATTTTAGGCTCAGCTTTTGTACAGGCCAAAATCATGAAAAATATCTGTAGATATGGCAACAGAAATACCACAAACCACACGGCCACTGGAACATCTATAAAATGGTGCCATGCAGAACTGGTACCAGTTACCTCCCCTCGCTCATTGTCTACTGGTTTTGCTTTTTCTCCTTTCTGATTTTTCACAGGATCTGCCTCGTTAGGGTTGTGGTAGGCATTTACATGTTCCAGAGCAAACTGGTTGTAGTGCTCACTGAATTCAAACAAATAGTACAGCACAGAAAAGGATCCTCCTAGGAAGAATAGCACCATCAACCAAGCAATCCTCTGTCTGAACTTCATCGTCAGGTACTTCTTATCCGATACCAAAATTGTCAGGCCATCAGTCTTTTGATCTGAAATACAGTGCCGAATGTTAGAAATTTGGAATCCAAAAATGATAACAAATTTGACTCCATTCCCCCGGGCAGTGTTGTAATTAACATAAAAGAGGATCATGCGCTTTAAACTATATATGTAAATACAAGAGGCCCAATGGG